TATATATAATATATATATATATATATAAAGGAAATCGGTATTTGGCAGAGGCCCAAAAACCGATTTCTCATGCGCTATGCCCCATGCTAAGAGCCCGCGTCATGTTCCTAAATATTCAAGAACCCAGCGCTACTAGAGATGGAACCCGTAACCTGAAGGGACTTATAATGAACCCCGCCTACCAACAAGTCATGGCTTGCAGCGCGCGCGCGCGCGCACACACACACAGATATATATATATATATATTAATAAAAGAGCAACTCATGGCTCTTTACACGTTAATATTAAAAAAGGTTACAAAGCTTTGGGAGGGATAGTGGATCCCCATCTAAAAGCAATACATCATAATCATAGGGGTTCCAGTATCCACAATACAACTCCACGCAAAATAAAAGGAAGGAAACAAAATAATAAAACACCCAAAAATACATGTAAACCCACCAAATTGTATACCAATAAGAAAAAGTATACCCAAAATATACATGTATACCAAAATCCATATATATATATATAAATTCTTCTTATCATATAAAAAATATCACTTTTTTACTTTAATATATATATATATATATTGTATGTATCTAGCTTTCTATATCTCTCTGTATGCATGTATCTATCTATATGCATGTATGTAGATGCATACATCTATTTGCATATATCTATCTCTATGTATGTATTTATATCTATATATGTGTGTGTGTGTGTGTGTGTGTGTGTGTGTGTGTGGGTGGGTGCATTTTTTGCATGCCAAATTGAGAAGCAGAGAATTGTTCTCACATTTTCCTTGAGTTTTGCCATTATTTCTTGCAAAAAGTTCACATATTTTTACATTCTTTTATATGCAGGAGAATGGATCTGAGGAAGGGCATAAGAAGGAGAACACAAAAAATGATAATCTGCAGCTCTTCTTGTCTCTGTCATCGCCGCCAGAGAGGATTAATCTCGATCTCTCAATGGCAATTCTAGGAAGCTGATTAACTTCTAATCATTTTTATCATTAGTGATTAATTATGTGTATAGATACATCCAATGAGGGACAAGTACTTCGGGGTTTTAATTTATGATGCTTATTATCAATTTATGTTAGCTCATTCTACAAAATGTGTTGTTCTTTATTTTACTTTGGTAAGTATGGGTTATGGGTAGTTTGCCTTGCCTTTACAGCCACTTGGAATGTTTATTATTCTCAATTTTTTACATGTAAAGCCTGTCCCCCCCAACACCCTCTGCACAAGTACATTCCTCCAAGTGTTAAATAGAAGCACCCCTTTCCTCCCTTGGCCAAAAGTACCTTCCTTTTTTACATGCTTCACTTAAACCTAAATAAAACTTGAGATAATCTCTAATCCTTTGGAAAGAGACTTAACCAATCTTTTCCCCATGTTGGCCAGCAACTTCAGCATTGTTGTAGACCACCCCAAACATGTTTTCATAACTTTGGTCCAAGTCAAACCTAAAATAAACCTAAACCCATTCCACTTAATTTTGACCCATGTACACATGGCACTTGGTGATTGAATTCACCATCTTCCACCTCTGAACTCCCTCAACATGATAACAACCTCTCACTCCTTGCTTACCCAAGAAAACTCCAAACCATGAGCCACACCTTGGTTAAAAAACTCAAATTTTACCCATTCTACTCGGATCAATCTCATCGGAGCTTTGCCTCCATTTCATCGCCAACTCAGTATCATCTTGACACCTAAGCTTGCCCAGTCAGCCACCATAGTTAGGTCTATAAATTGACCATCTCCATGGACAAAAAATGGAAACTCACCCAAACTAGAGAGAAACTCTATCAAATTGTCTCCAAGCCTTCCTACACCTTCCCTCAGCAAATCCCCAAAATTTTTTGTCCCTCATCCCCACCATGAAACTGCAAATTTAAGGTCCAAAATCACAAATATTTTGGGCTTCCCCCATAAACCCTACCAATGCTTCAAATCAATCATCCCAAAAGCTTCATAAGACATCAAAACATCATCCCACACCAAAATCTATCCTTCCTAAGCTTTCCACCATGGTTGTCGACCAAAACCTAGCCACTTTTTGGTGACTTCTTTCCTGGACCATTTGCTGGAAGAAATCTACACTTAGAGCAAGCTCTTGGGACCCAAGTGAAGCTACAACAACCATCTAATTGAAACCTCACCACTTGGACAAAGATATCGTTTAAAAACTTTACATTTTTGGCACTTTTTGGAACTTTGTGAAGTGAAGCAATCGCACTTATAAGCTGCCACAAACGGGGCCTTAGATGAAGGTGTAGAAACAAACTGCACTTGATTTAGTTGAGAATCGAGATAGATCTTAATGTTTGAAATTGGACCGCTTTGATTTTTGATGCACAAAAAATATATGCATTTTTAGAGCTATATTTTATACTCATTTTTTGTGATATTGCTCTTTAAGGGAAAGTATTTTTTATGTTTTGTTGTAGATTAATGATTTTTAGGACTTGAAGCAAAAATGAAGCAAAAAGAATGAAATTTAAAGTCAAAAAGGCATTTTGGAAAAAATACTCAGCGCCAACGACACCATCGTAGGCACCGAGGGTGCCATTTGACAGAAAGCATGGAATTTAATTACGGACCACGGGCGTAGACGGTGCCATCGTGGGCGCCAACAGCACCAAGGTCGGTGCTGGGCAAAATTCTAGAAGATTCGATGAATTTGGACGCTTTTTGAAGAGTTATTGGAGGAACCTCTTAGAGAACCGACTTTATGCTTTATTTAGAGCAAAAATTGCTTAGAAAATCAAGAGTAGTTAGAGGGGGCTAGAGTGTAATTGAGTTTACTTGAGTATTCTATTGTTTAGTGTGGTGAGTCTAAGTGTGATTTTCTCCTAAGAGTTGTTAAGAGAGGGAGAGAAGTGAGAGATTTCTTCTTCAATACATCTTTAAAGAGAAAATTAAGAGTCTTGTAAAGAGAGAAAGAGTCCAATAGAGGCTACAAGGGATTTCTTTTTTGAGAAAGAGCTACAGATAAGTGGTGTTTGTTTATTATTGTTGTTTAAACTTTTTTTTTATTTATGAAATTCGTATTTTATTGTATCTTTCTCATGGGGTCTGAGTAGTTTTCTATGTCTTTCTCCCTACTCTGAAATATGGTGAAATGAAAAGATAATTTGGAAGTGCCAATTCTAAAATATAAAATAAATTATGATGATTTTTCCACTCTTTTCTTAATTTACTTTTCGATTTGGCCAATTGAAATGTTAAAATCTGTTGTGAAACATATGATCAAGGAAATGATCGTGGGATCGATATTTGGGGCTTAAACAGAAAGTCCTGTATTACTTGATAACGATACACATACTTGCGTAGAATCACAATATAAATTGCTTCAATTTCTTATTCATAAATAACGAACCAAGTTTTTTTGGCATCGCTGCCAAGCGGAGCCATCTTCATTAATTTTACACAACTATAATTTTCGAGGATCAGTTTTCTAGCTTGATGAAGAAGATGAGCAGTATCAGTGTTATTCATGGTTTTATTTTAGAGTTATTTCTGTGTTGTTGTCAGTATTTTGCCATTTTTTCATGCTACTTCACATGTTTAATGATTTAATGATATTATGAAGTTATTCCCACCGGTTTACTATTATGTTTGCATGATGATGGTGTTATTATAATTTTTGTGTGATTTTCTTATGGTTAAGTTAAAATGGGAATTTCTATTTTAATTATTTTTAGAAAAATGACTCACACTTAAAAAAAAACCATATCTTGGTGTAGGAAGGTTATAAATGTGAAATAAAAATATTCTTGTGTTTTGTGAACAGAGGAGAAGTTATTAACCATAAATTAAAAATATTATTTAGTACTTTCAGCAAAAGAATTATTTTCTCCAAAACATGTTTTAATTATATAAAATTAGATGCTTATCATTTTGACTTGAAATTTTGAGGGTTTCTTCATCATGATGTTAGGAAGGCTTTTTGATTTTTCCAAAGCCAAGGAACACATCTAACTTAGGAAACCTATTTTATAATGAAAATTTCTTTATTTTGATAGAATAATTGTCAAAATTAAAATATAAGTCCAAAAATTGCAAAACCAAATTTGGTGAGCTTCTTGTGGTAGGGGGAGTGAGAGAAAAATGAGAGTTTGTTTTACAATTTAAAATTAAATTTTATTTGAATTTTCTTTCAAAAATCATTTAAAATTTATAAAAATTAAAATATATCTTGAAAACTCACAAAATTGGTTTTGATGAGTCTCCTGACCAAGAGAACAATCACAAAATTTTCTAAGGACAGGGAGTCTATTTTGAGTGGTTAAATTAATTTTTATGTTTAATTCCTTATGTTTGAGCATAAATAATTCTAAAAAATAAATAAATATCATAAAAATGTAATTTCTTCCATTTTGACTTAATTAATTTATGAAAAAGAGGTAAATGAAGTTTCATGTTTAGTTTACTTGAGAATTGATAGGTTAGGGAGTGTAAACCCTTAAGGTAGATTTGTAATTTTTAGGATCTTGCAGTTTAGCACTAAATTTTAGGATTAATAAGAGGGGAGGGAATTAAAACAATGATGATTAATATAGTGAAATGATTAAATTCTAAAGGTAAATTGGATAATAACTTATTTGCCTTAATTCCCACCATAAAAGTAAAATTGTAATTCAGGAATTGTTAAGGATTGGAAGAAAATAAGAACTTAGATTATTCAAGAGTTAGAAGTATGAACTGCAAGATTAGTAGGCTATCAAATTAGGGACCCTAATCATTAAGCCCAATTATTTTAGTTAGGATTGAAGCACACCTCATGAACTTTTGCTGCAAAACTACAAGTTTACCCCTAATTTTTAAGAGCTCAATAGTGAGCTAGGATTGATTTAAAGATACTTGAGAAATAGTTGGAAAACACTTAATCTAAGATGAAACACCTTCAAACATTTCAAGCATGAGCTAGAATGTTGGTTTCTTAAATTTTTATGAGTTTACCCTAGGTGGAGGTTTATTCACCTAACCTTTAGCGGAATTCCTAAATTAGTTAAATACTAAACATAAGGATACACCACAATGTGTTTCATGACCCTTTTAATTAAATAAACTAATGAAGTTTTATGTCTTAAATTAACTTGAATTGAACACTAAAACTGCAGGATTTGGGCTTGAACCTTACACTCAAATTCTCCTAGCAATTGGAGGCATTCCTAATGACATATGGATTATATGTCCCCAGTCTTTTATATGTGACATTGTGTTTGGTCTTACTCGTTTGTGTTTTCTTATGATTTGTTTGAATTTGATGCACATTACCATATGATGTTGTACTAACCTTGTAGCAGTGGTGGGAATCCCAGGCACGGAAGTTTTTTTTATATTTACTGCACATTACCACACTTTTTACTGCGCTTTTACTGTTCGTTTACTTTTGCCTTACTTACAAAATTTGTAAAGCCCCTATGGTAGACAACTGTAGGACATATGCTTAAAGGCACATTACAACAGGACGTGACTTAGCAATTGCATGTTCAAACATAAACTTTAAAGCCATAACCGCTACAATATGGATCTCAGAGCAAGAATTTTGGGCAACCTGACGAAGATGCAAGCGAACCACAAAGGACATCCACCAAAGAATCAAGACTATAACATGATCTAATTCAGATAAACTTTCCTTAGTCATAAATAATACAACTCATTGGACTTCGAGGTTGTCCGCCTAGAGCGACATAAATTCTCATGTCATTGTTGACCTCACTTTTGGTTGAGGTCTAGAAATTTCTTTAGTAGCCTAGGTCTAGCCATAGGATTTTCCTGTAGACTAGTCTTAGAAAACTAGAAAGGGTACCCTCACCATTAGAAACTCAAAACTCTTCTCTTTACTCAACTTGAAGTTCCACATATTGGTCCTAACCTCTAATATTTAGTAGGTAAGATCATTATGGGGAAAGCTCAAGAAGAGTTCCTATAGGGCTACTTGGCCTTAGAATTGACCCTGGGTGTTGACTTGGAACTAGGGTACACCATATCTTCACAATAAATTGGTCTATGACTCATTCAGAATGGTTCTCTACCCAATTTC